GTCGGCCCATCCGTGCGACAGCAAAAGCCGCCACGTGGCTCTACCACTGTTGAAAGTTGAAGTTTCCGAATTACCACTGCCCAAGCCAGCCTCCCGCTGTGCTCCTAACCCGGCTAAGAAGCAAGTCCCGCCCCCTGTCTTCTTACGAGACAAGGCTCAGTTTACCCGCCTCTCCAAAACCTGCTACGACGCAGGAATAAAGTATGACCAAGCCACCAACCTCGAGGAGGCTATTAAAATCATCCCCCAATTTGTCGACGACTTTCGTCGTCTCACCAGGCTATTCACAGCCGAACGAGTCTCCTATCATACGTACGCTCTTCAGAAAGAACGCAAAATCAGGGCCGTCATCCGAGGCGTCCCTTTTGAACTCTGCAACGAGGAAATCCTTAAGGACCTTAAGTCCCAAGGATTCCCCGTTGAGGCTGTGCATAAAATGCACAGCAGAACGGGCTTGAGGTTCCCCCTTGCCCTCGTAATTCTCGTAAACGTTTCGGAGGCAAAGACCATCTTCCGGCAGTTACGCACGGTGTGTGGCCTGTCGGGAGTGAGGGCTGAGCCCCCGCATATGCGCGGTTGCCCGGCGCAATGCCACCGCTGCCAGTTATATGGTCATGCGGCGGCCAACTGCTCCGCCCCACCCAGGTGCGTTAAGTGCCTCGCATCATAATCTGCTATGTTCGTTATAAGTTTATTTTAATCATTTCACCGTAAGGTCAGTATACGTCTGGCCTGAACTGCCTCCCGGCGGCTCAGGCCAACTCTTCTTAAATTTGCCTTTGTAGGCTCCCCCTCAGCGGCCCGTAGCCGCCTGCGCCCTCTTCTCCCAAAAGAGGGTCGCTTCCGATACGGCATAAGAAGCTTAAACAGCTGGTTGCCAGTCCCCAAAGGCGGTTTTTAGCGGGTACCACTTAGGTCCACGGTAGGCAGCGAGTCCCGCATAACCACGACAGATTGGCTGTCGTGGTATGCATAAATGCATTTTCCGCCTCCCTACGTAAAGCGTAGCCCTTTTTGCAATTGGTTCTGGGCGCAAAAAAAAAGAAAAAAACGACCCAAATCATTACCAGCTCATTACTCGTCACTCGCTCATCGTTCGCTCCGTATGCAGCTCAACAGACACTGCCTCAACAAGCTACACTTCACAAGCCGCTCTTGTTTTTATATAAACAATAGTTTCATTTAACTTCATTATCCTATGGTCAAGAAGAAGTCTGCGTTTGAACGATACGGAGCCCTGCATAAAGCTCCCACTTCGTTTAATGGTCAAACGAGTAGCGGATCCCATTTCGTTTAATGGTCCTTCGAGTTCCGGATCCCTGCAACAAGCCTGAAACAAGAAGTTAACATCTCTCCGCGTCAAGAAAGCAAGAAGTTTCCATTTCTCCACGTCGGAAAGCAAGAAAGAAACAAGAACGCGCGAGTGTTAGTTGTTGGTCATACATAACCACTGCTAATTACTTGGAAGCAAACAACACAAGTACGTGGCAGCCTTGCGGTGTTAACTGCCATCAAGAACGTACTTTCAGGTATTATAGACCCCGCCGGCAAGGTACGGTTACGTTCTGGGGCCACAGGTTGCCACGCAACGATAAGTGTGGAATATTGCCACCGCACTTTGATGCACCCGTGAACGCCCGCGCCCTCTACCGGGAGGTATCCACCTTCCTTTCCTCATTAGTTTCCATCCCTGGTCCAGCATCACCGCGGTAGGAGTCCGGCCAAGACCCGTTAGGTAGGTAGGGTAGAAACTCTAAGTGAAAGTGTTAAATTTAAGTAATTAGTAGGATTAGGGACCCTCGCGCGCAATGGAAAACACACGTGTATTACGTTCAGGCAAATCCACGCCTACCACAGACGCCACGCCGGCGTCGGGGCAGACGAGTTCAACAGAAACAAGTACGTGGAGTAAGGGCACGGGCACAGAGCATACAAACGGTGACAGTGGCTCGCATAGTAACAATAACGTGACGGGAGCAGTAATCGAAAATAGGTCCGTTCAAGTTCTCTTGACATTAGAAGGGGTAGGGGGTAATCAAATAAACGACACAGAATCATGTCACGTGAAATTATCCATTCGCGGTTTATATAACAGAAACTTAGAATGAACTACTATGAACAGGGGCAACCGACCATATTGATAGGCCAAGACAACTGGCACTTAATTACGTCCAGGCAATTGCGCGTCGGTAATAAAAACCAGCCCATAGCATCTTTAACTAAATTAGGGTGGGTGTTGCATGGTCGCAACGGACAGCCCGGTAATACTGTCGCGATAATTAATCACGTACGGCCCACACAAACCGACGACCCCGCATTAGAGCTCATAGAAATTTTTTCAGCATAGAATCTCTAGGAATAGAGGCACGCCGACCGACATCTGACCCGGATCAGCGAGCCCTAGCTATTCTAGATAAGACTTGTAAAAAAACGGACAATAGCAATAGGTACGAAGCGGGCTTACTCTGGCGAACAGACACTGAGGAGATGCCAAACAATAAAAAACAAGCCCTCAGTCGTCTATATAGCTTAGAAAATAAATTAGATAAAAATGAAAACCTAAAAACCGAATATAGTAAGCAGGTAAACAACCTTATAGAAGCAGGCTATGCTGAAAAAGTAGTCGCCCCAGCCACGTCGCCACGCAGCTGGTACTTGCAGCATTTCGCAGTCGTACACCCTCAGAAGGGCAAAATAAGGTTAGTGTTCGACGCAGCAGCCAAATGCGGGGGGAAAAGCCTAAACGATGCGTTATTAACAGGCCCTGACTTACTACAGTCGTTATTCGGCGTTTTAATTAGGTTTAGAGAGGGTCGTATTGCTGTCGTAGCCGACATAAAAGAAATGTTTTTACAAGAAAAAATTATACAAGAGGACCGTGATAGCTTACGATTTTTATGGAGGGGCGAGAATAGAGAGGGGCCGCCGCAAGAGTATCGGATGACGTCGTTAATATTCGGGGCGGCATCATCACTATGCACGGCCATCTATGTAAAAAATAAAAACGCAGAAAATCACAGTTATCAACATCCCGAGGTCGCGAAGGCTACAGTACGTAACTTTTATATGGACGACTACTTAGGTGCGTTCAACTCCGAAAGCGAGGCGAAGTCAATAGTAAATGATATGTGCAAAGTACATAGAAACGCATCCTTCGAGTTACGCGGGTGGGCGTCGAACGAGCCCGAGGTAATTAGCGACGTCACTGATACGCGTAGAAGCGACACAACCACGCTAGGTAAAAGTGATTCGGACAGGACATTAGGTCTTATTTGGAATCACAAACGCGACACGTTAGGCTTCAATGTCAATCTTAGAAACACACCTACCAAGCGTCAGGTACCCAACGCAGTAATGTCGGTATTTGACCCGCTAGGTTTAGTTTCGCCTATCACGATGATAGGCAAATGTCTTATACAGGAAATATGGCGTAGTGGGATAGATTGGGACGACCCCATCACAACCGAGCATCACGTGACATGGTTATCACTTATAAATAACTTACAGCTGTTAAAAAAAGTTAGAAATAGATAGGTACATACCTGCCACGCCATCTGGAGAAGAGGAGTTACACATTTTCTGTGATGCGAGTAAAAAGGTGTATTCCGCTGTTGTATATTTCGTAAGTGCAAAAACGGACGGCACTAAGACGTCGCGATTGGTAACAGGCAAGGCCAAAGTAGCTCCGTTAAAACCAATATCGATTCCCCGGTTAGAACTTCAAGCTGCAGTGTTAGGCAGTCGATTAGCTGAATCGGTCAGACGCGAGTAGGATTATAAAATATTAAAACGTCATTATTGGTCAGACTCTAAAACTGTATTAGCTTGGATAAAATCGGACCCGCGCAAGTTCAAGTCGTTTGTCGCAGACCGATTGGCTGAAATCGAAAGCCTAACCTCGCCAACCAATTGGCGATGGGTACCCAGCTCAGATAACGTCGCGGACGACGCAACCAAGGGCGTACCTGCCGATTTTAATTCGAAACACAGGTGGTTTACCGGACTGCGTTTATAAGGAACGACCCCGCGACTTGGCCGCAGGACAAACGAAATGAAACATCGTTACCCCCTTCAGGGGAAGAAAGAATATTGAAACAAGTTCACGTAATAATTAAACGAAACGTTAGCGATTACTTACCCGAGTTAGAACGATTTTCAAAATACAGCCGATTAGTTCGCGTCGCTGCCACCGTTTTGCTCGCCGCTGAGATATTTAAAGCCAAGCTACTCAAAAGAGGCACAAATGTTGAACTCGCACCGAGCCATATAAAATTAGCGGAGTTATTTCTCATAAGAAGGAGTCAATATAACTCGTTCGCTGAAGACATCGCGACCATAGAGGCTGGGCGGCGACCACCCAAGAAGTCACCATTCTACAAACTATCCGTGAAGATCGACCGCAACGGCATTATGTGTTTAGATAGCAGAATAAAAAACGAACACAATCTGCCAGTCCAGTGAAGCCTTCTTTGGCGTGTAGCCAAAGAAGGCTTCACTCGGCTGTTGGTGCATCACACGCACGCAACCTTCAATCATGGCAATCACCAGAACTGAGACAGCGATACCACATAATAGGAATACGCATCGTTATACGCAATATATACAACCAATGCCAATGGTGTCGGACCTATAGGGGGATCCCATCAAAAATCCCTTTAGGCGACTTACCAGTAGAAAGGCTGGCCCAGAATCAACCGCCCTTCACTGCAACCGCGGTAGACTACTTCGGGCCCATGCAGGTCACAGTAGGGCGAAGGATAGAAAAAAGGTGGGGTGCCTTATACACATGCCTCACTACACGCGCTGTGCACTTAGAAGTAGCCACAGCCCTCACGGCCTCTTCCATGATCATGACGAAGAATGATGGCTCGCCGGGCCACACCAACCGTGATATACAGTGACAACGGAACCAACTTCGTGGGTGCTGAAAGAGAAATCGCTGAAGCTATGCAAAACAACGACCATAGCCTTACCACCTTCGCATCTGAAAAGCTGATCACCTGGAAAAAGATACCACCAGGAGCCCCAAACATGGGCGGTGCCTGGGAACGATTGATCAGATCAATAAAAACAGCATTAAAAGTCACACTAAAGGAGAGGTCACCCCTGACGAATTGCTGCACACGTTACTGCTGGAAGCCGAGCATGTGATTAATTCGAGGCCACTGACTCCGGTGAATCCAAACTTGGATGAAGAAGCGCTGACACCCAATCACTTTCTTATTGGGCGCTCTAGCGGGATGTCACCGTTTGGTTCATTTAAAGACACACAGTTGAACCCACGCTCCTGGAATGCCACTCAAGCACTAGCCGACAAGTTTTGGGCACGCTGGTCAACGGAACACAGACCTCTTTTAATGCCCCGGTCCAGCTCCAACTCTCAACACAAAAATCTAAAAGTTGGGGACATCGTGATAATTTGTGATGGCACAATGCCTAGACGAGTATGGCCTAGAGGCGAAGTGACGGAAGTCCACCCAGGCCCAGATGGGCGCGTCCGAATAACTGAAATAAGAACAGCAACGGGTTTGGTGCGCCGTCCGGCCTCTCGCCTCATCGCAATTACGACAACGGACTAAAACAGTTTTTAAGTGCTTGCGCACGAGGGGGAGATTGTAAATAACAGCCTAGATTTAAGACGTTATTAATGTTGAATATCTTTTAAGACGATCTATATAGTTATTTAAGTTTTAGTCACGTAAGCTTACAATTGTACGTAATCTTATTAATGTTTTTTGTATGCCTATAAAGAGTTGTTATATCTTTATAGTGATTGTCACCTATGTATTTGTAGTAGTTATTGCCAAATAAAGATCTGTTATATGTCTTTATAGTGTTTGGCAAATACATAATTAATGTTTGTATGCCTATGCAAAGTGTTGTGTGTTTTATAATATTGTGTCACATACTTATTAGTAGTTGTTATAAAGAGATTTGATACATGTCATATAGTGTGTTACATACTTATTAATAATTGTTTGCAAAGATTTGTTGTATGAAAATGTATAATTGTGAAATAAATTATGAGTCATACTAAACACACCCCCGCACACTTCCCTCCTGTCCGTTCATTAGTCAAATGGAGCATATGCGCATCACGGGCGCTTGCACGAGTTGTGCAACTGACCGAACGAAATAAAAGGCATGCTGTGAGCGACCCAAATCAGTTTTTTGTGTTCAGGATTCCGCCTGTGGCACCGCTCTCGAGCGGTTGTATACAGATAGTCCGCGCTTCCGTCCCCGTACGGCAGTGCTTCTCGCTCTCGCGCCTCCGCTGTCCTGCTCGCGCTGTACAGCGCCGACGCCCGGTAAGTTCTTTACGCTAACTTCAGTTCGTACCCCCCTGTCTTCGGGCGGGGACGTCTGACTGACCACTCCTTCTTTTATTGTTATTCTTGTTAATTTTTCTGTTTATGTTTTTGTTTTTCTTTTGTTATTTCATTACCGTGTATATTGTTTCTTGGGAACGTCTCTTGTTCTTTTGAGAACAAGCCCCTATTCTTTTGAGAACAGCGTCCTTACTGTTTCATAGAATAACGTCTCCCCCCCCTCCCAAACATGTAAAACTAGACCACCTTCGTAGGCAACTCCTCGACGTCGTATCCCAGATAGACCCGCCAGCTCTGGCATCCTTTTACGCCGAACTCGCTCAGGCATACCCCTCTCACGAGGCCTTATTGGCTGTTAGGCCGGTTGTCCCACAGTCTAACTCTTTCGCTCCCCTGGAGATGGAGTGCTCCAACTCCGACTCAGAGTCCATACTCCAGGGCTCTGGTTCTATGGAGTCGTCTGACTCAGACGGATCCGATGAATCGGGGTTCACCACAGTGTCTTCCAAGCGCCGTAAACGCGCCGCGAAAAATCGCACCGTTTCGGCGGCCTCTGTCGCCCCCGCAAACCCCGCAGCCCCCGTAGCTGCCTCAGTCCCCGCAGCTCCCGCTGCAGTTTCCGAATTACCACTGCCCAAGCCAGCCTCCCGCTGTGCTCCTAACCCGGCTAAGAAGCAAGTCCCGCCCCCTGTCTTCTTACGAGACAAGGCTCAGTTTACCCGCCTCTCCAAAACCTGCTACGACGCAGGAATAAAGTATGACCAAGCCACCAATCTCGGGGAGGCTATTAAAATCATCCCCCAATCTGTCGACTACTTTCGTCGTCTCACCAGGCTATTCACAGCCGAACGAGTCTCCTATCATACGTACGCTCTTCCGGAAGAGCGCAAAATCAGGGCCGTCATCCGAGGCGTCCCTTTTGAACTCTCCAACGAGGAAATCCTTGAGGACCTTAAGTCCCAAGGATTCCCCGTTGAGGCTGTGCATAAAATGCGCAGCAGAACGGGCTTGAGGTTCCCCCTTGCCCTCGTAATTCTCGCAAACGTTCCGGAGGCAAAGACTATCAGAAACAGAAATAGAAACAGAAACTTTTTTATTCAATATAGATTATAAATAATACTTATTGAAAGTCACTCTTTTGTATGATTACCACTGGTTCGAAAAAAACCTCTGTCCTGGGAAGAACCAGCAAGAAACCCAGCGAGATTTTTTTTTTTAAAACAGCTTACAATCGTGTATGTTACACAAATCAACAACACAACAAATTAGAAATAGCTTGGTAGCGATCACTTCATTTCCAGGGGTTATTATCATCTATGAATTCATTAATATTATAATAACCCTTTTTATACAAACTTAGTTTAATAAAGTTTTTGAACTTTGAGCAGGTCAAATTTTGTATATTTTCTGGAATTTTGTTGTAAAAACGTATACATCGCCCCAAGAATGAATTACTGACTCGATGGAGTCGAGTAACTAGCTTGTGTCTGTTCCTAGTATTTACAGAATGAATATCACTTATTTTTGTAAAACTACTTTTATTTTTGTGTACGTACATTACATTTTCATAAATGTATTGAGAGGCCAAAGTTAATATATTAATTTCCTTAAATTTTTGTCGCAGCGACTCTTTAGGCTTTAAATCATAAATTGCTCTTATGGCCCTCTTCTGTAAAACAAATATAATTTCAGTGTCAGCTGCGTGTCCCCATAGCAAAATACCATACGACATTATGCTATGGAAATAGCTAAAGTAAACTAGTCTAGCTGTTTCAACACTAGTTAGACTTCTAATCTTTTTTACGGCATATGCTGCAGAACTAAGTCTGCTTGCTAGTTTTGATATATGGGGGCTCCATTGAAGCTTCGCGTCTAGAGTGATTCCAAGAAAAATGGTGGTATCTACAAGACTCAGTTTCTCCCCATTTAAAATTACATTAGTATTTAATTGTTTGACATTTGAGTCATAAATTTCATACATTTCGTTTTAGTGCCATTTAAATGCAAATTATTAACATTGAACCAATTTACTAATTTAGATATAGCATTATTTACTTCGTCATATTTTAGCAATTGTCGACTTAATTTGAAAATTAAAGAAGTGTCATCTGCAAATAATACTATATCATGGTTATCTCCTACTATGTAAGGTAAGTCATTAATGTATACAAGAAACAGAAAGGGGCCGAGAATTGAGCCTTGAGGCACGCCCATTTGTACCATCGACCCGGAAGAACTCATACCGTTAATGACAACTTTTTGCGTTCTTTTACTTAAATATGAAATAATTAATTTAAGAGCATCACTTCTTACACCGTAGTGTTGAAGTTTCCTGATTAATGTTTCATGGTGAACACAATCGAAGGCTTTGGATAGGTCACAAAATATACCCAAAGCATCCTGTGAATTCTCCCATGCATTAAATATATATTTAATCAGCTCAACACCGGCATCAGTTGTCGAGCGACCCCTTGTGAAACCAAATTGATTTTTATGAAGTAAATTATTTATATTAAAGAAATTTAACATTTGATCAAGAATATTTTTTTAAAAATCTTACTAAGTGTTGGTAGTACAGAAATAGGTCTAAAATTGGCGGGGTCTAATGTACTACCAGATTTAAATAAAGGTATTACTTTACTATACTTCATTAAATCAGGAAACACACCAGATTCGATACTAGTATTAAAAATAATAGCTAAATGAGGCGCGATTGTATCTATTATAGACGCAATAACTTTAACGGAAATCCCCTACAGATCCGCAGTTTTCTTAACATCAATAGTTTTAAAATATTTTACAATATCTTTTGATGATACTTTATGAAATGCAAAATTATTTGTACACGCATTTACATTTTGTTTAAGTAATGATTCGGCGACCGCAGGAGAAGAATTCAGTGACTTAGTGGTTAATATCGGAATATCAGTAAAATATTTCTCGAAAACCATTGCAACGTCCTGATCTGATTCGGTTAATTTGTTACTAACACTTAACTGGTAGTTTGAATTGCGAGAGTTGATCTTACCAGTTTCGCTACTTTTATTTTTATTAATTATACTCCATGTCATTTTAATTTTATTAGAAGCCGTCTTAATTTTGTTGCTCAAATGCAAAGACTTGGCTGTGGAGCACACTCTTTTAAATATTTTTGAATATTTTTTCACATATTCCCTAAATTCGACGCTATGATTATATGACCTTTCATGGTAAAGATCATATAACCTATGTCTGCTCCTATGGACCCATTCATTAAATGACTTCCGACTGTTCAAGGAGAATATTTTAGAAGTAAAAGTATTATTAAATTCATTGCAAATAAGCTTAAATAATGTTCCATACAAAAAATTTGGATCATTTTGGTATGAAAGTGATGGAAGTTTTTTCACTATGTTACTTCTAAATTTCTCCAAGCGACGTGCATTTACTGGAACAAACACAACTTTCTCATCTACTTGCTTTTTGTGAACATAAGGTAACGAAACTACCTGTTCACAGTGATCAGAACTTAATTTTTGAATTATACATTTATGCAAGGCTTCACATTTGTAAAAATGTTATCTATACATGTTGCACTAGATTGAGCAATACGCGTTGGCTCTAAAAATAAATTAAAAAGACCTTATGATTTAAACAATGATCTAAATTATTGATTGAGGAAGCTTCTAGGAGATTGATATTAAAGTCTCCACATAATACAACAGATTTATTCTGTTTATTAAGCTTAGCAAAAACTTCCTCCATAATTTTTTCAAAAGTATCGTATATAGAACATGGGGGTCTGTAGACGCTCACAACAATGAGGTGCTCAAACTCAACACATGCCATTTCTACAGTTCGCTCAACAGAGAGGCTCACAATATCGTTACGTTCTTTACATGACAATAATTTACTAGCTAATATTAAGGAGCCACCTCTTAAAACCGATTCTCTATTGAAAGAACTGACCACCTGGTGATTACTGAAGTTAAACATTAAGTTATAAGCTTTTAACCAATGTTCAGTAATACATAAAATATGAATATTGTTGCTCTACACACACAACTCAATTTCTAGCTCTTTGCCTATCATGCCTTGTATATTTTGATGCACCAGGTGTAAACAATTTTCATTATTACTCTGTGGAGTCATACAATTAAAGATTTGTAAGCTACATTCTAATTCATTTAAATTATTACAACTGCTAGAGATTACCTCTATTGTCTCATTTTCTAATTTAAATTACTTGGAACTGATTCCAAATTACATAT